GCACGGCCCGCACCCGTGCGTGTCCGCAGCCCCGGCCACCGCGCGCCCCCCAGAGCCGTCTTCTGCACGCGGGCGGGTTGTGCAACGCTGCAGCATTTGGCCTCGCGTGTACTTCCGTGTGACCCTGAGCGGGAGTCAGCATTTCGGAGCTGAGCTCTTCTGGAGTTAGCGCACGTTACGAGGGAGCTGGTGTGCACGCTGTACAAGACGTTACATGCTCTGCGGGGCTGAGATCCTCGACACCTTAAAATCAGTATTTTTCAAGTAACGAAGACCGCTAAACAGAGCTCTTGCCCGTCCCCAGGCAGACACTGCTTTCGCCAGCACCAGAGCCAACCTCAGATTCGACTCCAGTCGAAGGCAAGCAAGAACGTAGAGGCTTCCTGGAAAAGCTGATGAGACATCATAAAACGCTCTGTAAGTGGTTTCCAAACCGGCGTTCCTAAGTCAAGGAGCATCCAGAACATTGCAAACCAGTCTACTCCTCCTCCGGCACCCCTGCAGGTGCCCAGCCACCCGTCAGGGCTTCACAGAAAAAAAAAACCCCAAATCCAGCTGCTCCTGGGGCTGCTTCGGGCAGGTTCTGTTCTCCCCCAGCACTGGCAGACAAAGCCCTGGCCTGGCCATCCCTTATTCTATCTTATTTTGGCGCCCTGTCTCTTTGGAGGCACACCACAACTCACCTGTCCTGAAGCAAAAGCAGAAAAAGAGAGAAAAAAAACCATGTATGCGCTCACCATTAGTACACGAACTGCAGAAGCTCCTCTTGCGTGGTAAGGGCCACGGTTTTGTCTCCCAGAGGACCATTGCCCGCAATGGGGAGGGCTCACGCTGCTGGGCTCGGTTCCCAGCCAGCCTCGATCCCCGCCTGCCCCGAGGTTACCTGGGTTTCGGGGGCCGAGCACGCCCCGGTCTGCCAGGAGCCTCGGGCTCTAAGCACAGGACAACCTTCCTCTCTTCCCACTCCAGCTCAAGCTCCCCAAGAGCCCGTTTCTCTTGGCTGCAGCCCCAAGCGACCAGTCAAGCACTTCTCCATTTTGTGTAGCTTGGCTGTATGTTTATATTGCATTTGCTCACAACTCCACCTTTTAATTGACAGCTATTGTTTCCCCATATAATTTCAGGCCTGGCCCTCAGCCAGCCTTTCAATCATAGCAAGAAATAGATATATAATTTCATTTCCCTCCAGGGTACAAACAGAAAAGAAGGATTTTCATATGTGTTTTCTGCATCAGCCTCCTGCCCTCCCCACTCGCTTCCTACAGGTCCAATGTACATAATTATCTCGACTGGCTACATCTAAGCAGGATTAAATGCATTATGTGATATTATCTCCCAGCAATCTGATTACAAGGTTGCCTTTAAATGCATAATGTGTTTTTTGTACCAACTTACACCACACGCCAGAAATCAAATAAGAAAACATTACTTACAAACAGTCTGCTAGAAACGCTGACCTGTGGACACCCCCAAGGCTTTTAAGCTTCACGTGAAGGCTTTTGATTGAAAATGGAGAGCTAAAAGCTTTGCAAACACTTTTGAGCGGCACCGAATTAAACGAACAGCGATGGGGGATCTCACGGCTTTGCTGTCGGTCGCACGGGGAAAGGTGTCGGGCCGCCCCGGCGCCTTCCCGGGCTCAGGCAGGGTTCACCTGCGCCGAGCCGCCGTGGCTCCACGGACAAAGGGCCATTGTTCTCCTCCCGCCTCCATGCGTGACCTTGCGCACGTCATTTCCCATTCTCCTGCCCTGGTGGAGCCACCGGGGACGCGGCAACGACAGCACTCACCTGCTATTTTTAGGAGTCCTGATGCCCGTTGCTTTTCCTGCTGGAAGTCCGTAACCCCAGATCACCCCCGCGCACGGGGCAGCCTGGCGAGCCGGCCGCGGGCTGCAATAGCAGGGGACGCGACCTAAGTCCTCGTGCCAGAGCTGTCAGGGCAACTCGTTCTCCAAATGAGCTTGAGAGACCTGAGTAGGTCTGTCAAGTCTCTGCAGCCCCGGGGATCCCAGCGAAGGGCGAGAGTGGATGCCGTGAGCTAATCTGGGCTGCCGGAGGGACCTCCCGGGGGAAGAGGGGACGTTGCCCTCCTGTTCCCATCCCCAGCTTCTGGGATTGCAACGCGCGGCGTTGCACATCACCACGACCTTCATCCCTGCGCTTCCCCCAGCATTCGAGTCGAGGCCAATGCTGCAGGATGCAGCAACCTCGGTCGGGGCTGGCTCCAGGGGAAGCAGAGGCAGCATCTATACATGCATGTGCATGCACACACATGCGTGTGCACAGCTGATACACACGTACCCTCAAGTCAGTGCAGGCAAAACCGTGGGCTGCTGTTTTCCTGAGGGATTTGCTGAGGTGTTGTTTTCTGAGTCATAAGGCAGTTAGTGTCAGGAGCTGGACCTGGGGGAGAGCGAGCTGGTTTGCTACAACAATTTCAGTGAACAGTAAAACGCACTCACAGTGTGCCTGGATGAGGTAGTGCAGAGCTGGTTTTCTTTGGCTTTGTATTTTTTTTTTCAACAGGCTACCTTTCCAGTTGAGAGGCAGGACCTTTGGCAAGCCAAAAACAATTAAGTTGGAGAAAAGAAAGGCAACAGAATGGAGACAGGAGAAGAAAAGGCATGGATTTACTCTATTAAAACAAATCAGTACAAACGCTGAATTTCCCATTTATTGAAACCAATCACAGTTAAAAGGTCGAATCCATCAGCAAACAGTAGTTTTGTATCATCCAGATTGACATACAGATGAAATACAAACGAAATCCAACCGAAAAGGAACCAAACAAAAAATCCATGGCTTGAACTTAGTTTAGTCAAGCCTACTCCCTTGGGCTGCCTTCCTGCAACCTCTCTAGCAGGACCTAAAGACAGTTTATAATCTCCCACGCACGCAGCCCCAGTTCCCCGAGAACCAACCTCTGGCAGTCACGGCTGTGGAGGGATTGAGCAAGTCAAATATCAGCCAGGCAATCCAGTTATTAATTGTTCCTCCCAAAGAGGCTAATGAACCCCCTTTCACTGAAGAAGGAAGCATCCTCAGCCAAGAGGGAGGGGTGTTTTACATCATTATGCCAACTCCTGCCTTTTGTCCTTCCCTCGAGGTGACGGAGGTGGCACCGCGGCCGGCACAGGCCCCTGCGCAGCACGGGATGCCCGAGGAGCTGAGCAGGGCTCGCTCCCGGTCCCTGCAGCAAGCAGCTCTGTGTGCTCAGCAGTGGCTGCTAGACCAGAGACGCTTGGGAAGAAGAGGGGTGAAGAGGCAGATACACACGGTACATGTTTCTGGCTCTTCTGCTTGGATAATTAATTCATCCTCATAAATTATTTCACCCTGATACTGCTAAGGGAAAGGAGAGCTGCTCTCCCACTCGGATCCTCTGTCAAGTCTGATTCAGCTCCCAGCTCTTCAAAGGCCACGGCACAGATGACGTGCTAACAGGGCAACCTCTGGGAAAAGCCCACATTAACACTTCATGGAGATTTTCAAAAAAGCAAAGAGTCATTAACTATTTAAAAGAGCAGCCATAAAATAGCTGTTGCTCAGTAACATTAGAAACACAGTCACTGGCCCATGTGGAAATGAATCCTGCCTTACCACCATCACATAGCACATTATCAACAACGTGGATAACCACACCTTGCCTTTTAACAGATTGCATGCTACAAAACAGACATATTCTTCTCTCCATTTTCTTTAAAGGAGAAAAGCTCTGGCTATTGGACAAGCCACACTGCATTGCAACAAAGCCCCACTTGGGAGATACATTTCAGGAAAAAAGATATTTCTGTCTTGCAGAGATACCAAGACAATTCATTTTTTATTGGTTTGGGCTATTTGCATCCATCAAAACAACTAGCACCCTAAAAAATTCCCAGGACCAGCAGGCTATATTAGACCTGCTACTCCACAAAGCACTATGTTACCTTAGGACTAATACTTCCACCTGCCTTTGACATCAAGTGTGGAAACTGAGACTCTAAGGAGTTTACTCCATTCAAATGCCTTGGTACTTAACCACAGAGCAGCGTAAACACTTGACAGTGAATTTCTAATCTTCTACAGAACAAAGATGATCGAAACCAAGAGCGACCTGGCTTAGAGAAACAACCCCAGAGCTGAAGGGAAAGTAAACTGTAACCTGCAGCCCAGTCGATGCGTCTTACCAACAACCTTGCTGAGAAAAAAAGAAAATCTGGTGGCAAAAGGAAACCAGGACCTGCAAGAAGCCACCCATATTTGTGCTTTGAAAATCATCAACATTATGTTATGGGGGGAAGATATATAAAATTATAGGTAATCAACACCAAACCAGATCAAAAAATATATACAAAAAAGTCTAGAGGATAAAGTATGTCCAGTTCCAACTGCCGTCACACAGATTGCTCTGAAGTCTTCTCCTGGGGAGTGGTGACCTGCCATTACCCAAGGCCAACGTCCAGGGACATCATCACCACAAATCCTAATATTGAGGTCCAGGAAGCCAGCTTCCCATTGCCACTGCAAGGAGAAAAGGGGAGGCCATGAGCTCCTAGGAGCTGGGCTGTTCTTTTAGGATGAAAAATGCACTGCTTTTATCTCTTCTGGGCAAGGGAAGGGCTCTTCCAAAGTCCTCTGTATTGCCCCGTATATTTAACGGTATTTAGTGCTTGTCACAGGGGGTCTCACCTGGTTTGTGCCTCGGGGATAATATCATCCATGACCACGTAGACCATCGCCCCGGCAGCGAAGCCCAAGGCGTAGGGCAGAAGAGGCTCTGCCACCACCACGGCAAAGGCACCAAAGATGCCAGCTAAAGGCTCTACCATGCCGCTCAGCTGCCCATACCTGCAAAAAAAAAAAAAAAAAAAAAAAAAAAGAGACTAAAAGCCGCTGGGGACCCGGCAAGAGGGGCAGCAAAGCCCTCCCGCAGCTCAGATGGGCTGGTGGCTGGGAGCTAGCGTGGCCTCCTCCCTCTTCCTCCCCAGCATGCAGAAACCACCCTCTCTGCTGGGGCTGGTCCCTCCACAGACCGGGCAGCAGGATCTGCTTGGCCCTGGAGCCCCGTCCTCCGCTGCAGCCCTGCAGCAACGTGCTAAAGGCATGCACTGGGCGCAAACGTGGCAAAACCCCAAAACGTGTGGGTAACCCGTGGGGGAAGAGGTTACATTGCAGCACTGTTATTAAAACAGGTGATAAAGGTGGTTTCACTCAACCTAGCTGATTTTGCCAGGAGGGGAATTAAGAGCTGATCTTTCCCCCAACAGCTCTGCGGGAATTGGGGACCTCGAGCCTGCAAGCAGGGATGGATCAGAGAGGATGTACTTCCAACTGGGACAGCTCAGTCCGAAAGAGGACATCTGGCCACAGCCTCACATGGATGATTGACAGGATGAAATTCAGCTTTTCCCTCTTGTTTTCTTTCCTTCTGGGTCTGTTTTAATGAGCAGAGCTCCCCAGACCATGGGAACTGCCTTCCCAGCAGCAGCAACCCTGGTGCAAGTCAAAGCAGCGGCTGTGCTTAGGGAGCTGGAGGTGGTGGGTAGGAAGGAAAGAAAGCAAAACTTTGGAGGGAGAAGTTTCCAAGCTGTCCCTCCCACCCTGCCATCCATCACAGGGCTGAGCACACGTGCACGGGCAGGGAAAGGGCCCTGCGCTCGCAGGGTTCATGCCCCTGGCTTTTTCACCTCAGGGAAAGGCAAAAAAAAAAAAAAAGGGGTTGAAATCATGCCCAGAGCGAAGGGAGAGAAAAAACAAAACAAAATTAAAAAAATCCTTTTCAGTGCAGGATCTGGGAGCTAACCACAGGCGCTAAATGGCCAACAAAACGGTGCTGGGGTGAACCGCAAGGATCACTAACGCGTGCAGGGCTGGGTCGGAGGGTTCCCACCGCCTGGGCAGGCTCAGAGACACGGAGCCGGCGGCGCTCCGGGCCGGAGTCCGGCTCTCGGGAGAGGCAGCAGCCCCGCAGCCCTGCTTTCTCGCCGCTGCACTTCTCTTTGAGCTTCAACCCCGTCACTGGGGGCTCTTTTACCCACCTTCACCGAGGAGCAGGATTTGGGCCTGGGTCAGCCTGCACGAGGCAGGGGGATATCGCCGCTTGGGAGGGCCCAGGGCAGCATTTAGTGCTTTCCCCGGGCCGAAGAGGAGCTCTGCTTACCAGAACGCTCTCCACGTCGAAAATCCAGCGCCGCGCAGAGGCAGGCTCACGGCAAGCCCTTCTGGGAAATTCTGGATGCCAATTCCGATTGCTAAGTTCCTACCCAAATAAAAACAAACATATTTATATATGTAGGTATATATATGAGGAGGAAAGGACAGGCCAAGCTAAGCTGCCGGGGAGCTGGAAAAAAAAAGACATTAATAAAGATATGTCTTTTTAATGTAAGTGTATCCAGCCCTCGGGACTAATTGAGCTAATATTTAACACACACAAAGCAAGCTTCACCTTCAAAGAGCTTTACCTCATTTAATCAGCTTTAGCACCAGCCCTGGGAGCAACAGAGAAACAGATGGAAAGAGAACTGTTTCCGTAACATCTAGGGAGGCCCAGGGAGGCATTTGAAACCCAAGGTTTCCCAGGCGTTACAGCATCCCGGCAGCCTGGCATGGGGGGACGCAGGGGGCTCCCGGCCCAGCTGCTCTGGTGGGGTGATGGCGGGTGCTACCGGGGTGGTGGGCTGCTCGTCCACCAAACGGTGAGAGCCACGCACCGGGGAAAGCGCTCGCTCCTTCGCTTTGGGAGAGGAAACGCCAAGAGTTAAACCGTGCGGAGAAATCCTTATTTAGACAAACGCAGCCCAGGACAGGCAGCAGACAGGGAACAGGGGAATCAGGACAGCCCCAGCGTCATCAAACTTGTCTTTCCACTCCAGAGAAAGAAGAGACGGATGCAAACGGGACCCTCCAGCACGTGCCAGTCCTCGAAGCGGAGCAGGTTCCTCCTCCGCGAGAGGTTTTGCCAGCGAAGCTCCAGGCACGGCGAGGAGGTTGGTCCCTTGCCCGTACCGGTAACCTGCCCTGTCTGGCTCTTACCTGCACCTTACTGCTAACTCTTACCACCTCCTGGATGAGGCTCATGGCCATGGGGTTTGTAAGACGAGAGGGAGCACGTTTTAACCACAGGCTTTTGCTTTCTTTCTCTCTTTTTTTCCCCTACAGCCTATGGAAAGGCAGCGCTTGCTCTTCCGCACCCAGGATCACTCAGAGCGGGAGCAGCTCCCTTTGCTACAATAACAGAGGTCTTCGGGAGCAACGCGAGCTCAGAGCCCATCCTAACAGCGTCGGTCTGCAAACACACCACCATCTCTTTCCTCGTACAAATCCATGGCCGTTCCGAGATTTGCAAATACTTGTTGGGGGGGGCCAGGGCAGACCTGTGTGGAAGAGGGGTAACTCACACCACCAGCTGCAGGATCTGGTCTGGCGTCTGAAATTCCCTGCAGATTCGAGTGACAGAGGGAAGACTCCTCTCGCGCCCGTCGGCGCAGAGCAGGAACGTGCCGCAAGGGAAGCTCCTCGCTCTCTGCTGACCCGGGAGGCCAGCCTGGGGTAAGGGCAACGCACCCGTTCCCAGCACCGCGCACGGGCGCAGGAACGGCACGTTGGGGTCCGCAGCTCGGGACCGGTGGCTCCCGCGGCATCTCCCCGTTGCCTCTCCAGATCCCGGCTCCTCTTCTGCTCCCCCGTCTCTGGGCTGCGAAGAACTCCGCTTTCTCCACCTGCGCGTTGCAGCAGGCGTCTGGACGTCAGTGCTTCGAAGCCCGCTTTCTGAGCGAGGAAAGCAGTTGTGGTTTTGCTTCTTGGTCTCTGATTTCCAACCGCAGCCTTTCATCTAGGTAGGAGGATTTTGAAACTTGCAGCCCTGCGTGGGGAGGAGGCTGGCACGGGTGGGCACACGCAGGGGCCCGGTCCCGGCTACAGACGAGCGCAGGGGAGCTGCAACGCCAACGTGCCCTTCGTACCGCGTCCCAAAGTGACCTGGAGCGCGGGATGAGGACAGCGGACCTGCACCTCAGAGCAGCCAGACCAGAGACGCGAGCAGTCGCCGTTGGCACCACGAAGAGAAGAGGGAGCTAGTCGGTCCATCGGTAAAGCAACGTAAGGAAACTCTGGCTGCTATGAAGACCATTTCTTCAGGCACCGAGGACAGAAGCCCAATACCGAGGGCGATACAGGAAGGCAGGGCAAACTCACACGGCTCCAGTTAAAGCACTGTGTCCCCAGGGGCAGCAAACACGGCTCTTTCGCAGGTTAAAACTCAAGAACGCACAGGAAAGGTTTGGAGGGGTGCTCAAGGGCAGACAGTTCGGTGAGATTTCTCCTCGCTTTTCATCTCCTTTGGTGCTCAGGTCCGTCACCCATTGCAGCTGCTTGCGGGCAGCAGGCACAGCCGCCTCCTTCCCGGCGCCCGTGCCCTCGCGCCGCCTCTCGCCCAGGAGCCTCGAGAGCTAACCGGTACGCCGTCCTCCCAGGGCAGCCCCGGGAGCCGCGGGGAGGCGCG